CCGCATACATAGACACACTGGCTTAACTCAAAGCCAGGGGCATGTCGTTATTAAAGATTGAAAAAGGTAAGGGGCCTAGACAGCTGCCCTGGGGAATTCCTGATTCTACCTGGATTATGTTAGAGAGGCTTCCATTAAAGAACACCATAAAGCCATAACACATACGTTTTTCCAGCAGCAGACTATGATCGATAATGTCAAAAGCCGCACTGAAGTCTACAAAACAGCCTCCACAATCTTTTTAGCATACATTTCTCTCAGCCAATCATCAGTCACTTGTGTAAGTGCTGTGATGGTTTAATGTCCTTCCCTATAAGCGTGCTTAAAGTCTGTTGTCAGTATGAAAATGTATGCACTCACTAACTGTAAGTTGCTCTGTATAAGAGTGTCTGCTAAATGACAAAATAAATAAATAAATAATAATCAAAAAAAAAATAATTGTTTACTGTAAAATAGCATTGTATCTGGTCAAACACCATTTTCTCCAAAACTTTACTAATGGTTGGTAACAGGCTGATTGGTAGGCTATTTGAGACAGTAAAGAGGGCTTTACTATTCTTAGGAAGCAGAATGACATTTGCTTCCCTCCAGGCCTGAGGGCACACACTTTCTAGTAGGCTTAAATTGAAGATATGGCAAATAGGAGTGGCAATATCGTCCGCTATTATCCTCAGTAATTTTCCATCCAAGTTGTCAGACCCCGGTGGCTTGTCATTGTTGATAGACAACAATCATTTTTTCACCTCTTCCACACTCACTTTACAATTCTTGTCTTTCATAATTTGGTCAGATATACTTGGATGTGTAGTGTCAGCATTTGTTGCTGGAATATCATGCCTAAGTTTGCTTATCTTGCCAATGAAAAAATCATTAAAGTAGTTGGCAATATCAGTCGGTTTTGTAATGAATGAGCCATCTGATTCAATGAATGATGGAGCTGAGTTTGCCTTTTTGCTCCAAAGCTTTTTACTATCATTTATCTTTGTTTCATACGATAGTTTCTTCTTATTTTTATTCAGTTTAGTCACATGATTTCTCAATTTGCAGTATGTTTGCCAATCGGTTGTGCAGACAGACTTGCCATTCCTTTTGCCTCATCCCTCTCAACCATACAATTTTTCAATTCGTCATCAATCCATGGGGATTTAACAGTTTTTACAGTCATTTTCTTAATGGGTTCATGCTTATTAGTAACTGGGATTAGCAATTTCATAAATGTGTCATGTGCAACGTCTGTTTGCTCCTCATTACACACCACGGACCAACAAATATTATTTACATCAACAACATAGGAATCACTACAAAATGTATTGTATGACCTCTTATACACTATATTAGGCCAAGCCTTTGGAACTTTGGTTTTCCTAGTTATGGCTACTATATTTTGTGATCACTACAGCCGATGGATCTGGATACTGCTTTCAAGCACATTTCTGCAGCATTAGTAAAGATGTGATCAATACATGTTGATGATTTCATTTCTGCACTGTTTGTAACTACCCTGGTAGGTTGAATGATAACCTGAACCAGGTTGCAGGCACTGGTTACAGTTTGAAGCTTTTTCTTGAGTAGGCAGCTTGATGAAAGCCAGTCATTATTTTAATCACCCAGAAAATATACCTCTCTGTTGATATCACATACATTATCAAGCATTTCACACGTTATCCAGATACACCGGCTAGTCGGATAACGAAAAACGACAAGACGGAGATGCATCCAACATGGGTGAACGCCGTCCAGCCACCGGCGTAGGAAAGGTGAAGATTCCACAGTTTCTTACATAGGCTGGCTACCTGCGTGATCAAGGAAGCCACCTCAAGCCTATAATCCTCGGCAAGCAAACAACTGCTGCATTGGAACTCTGAGTGATCCAGTTTGTCCCGAATCAAAGCGCAGTAGATACAGCTCCTACAGCGCTGGAACCGTTCATTTACCTCTACAGACACAGAGGGCTCCATTGGAAAACTCATCTGGGACTAATATCGTTAGCTTGATGGCTAACGTTAGCAGTTTAGCTAGGTTAGCGGCTCTTTCAAGCAGACTTTAACCTGTCAGTTAAGCAGGATTCCGGGACAAGAAATAACGGTCCTAGCTGTTAAAAGCAAACCGCGTCGCGGAATCCATGCAAAAACAAGTTTGGTATTTATGTTAGACAAAGATTGGTTATGTTTTAGTTAAAATAACAAACCGAGTGTTTCCATTATACAGTGTTTCCATTATACAGTGTTCAGCTGCGCACTCTGATGACACGCGCGCACAGACAAACACACATTTGAGTCATTTAGCAGACGCTCTTATCCAGAGCGACTTACAGTTAGTGAATACATTTTTTTTTTTATACTGGCCCCCCGTGGGAATCGAACCCACAACCCTGGCGTTGCAAACGCCATGCTCTATCAACTGAGCTACATCCCTGCCGGCCATTCCCTCCCCTACGGGATCTATAGTGGACGACGCTGTGCCAATTGTGCGCCGTCCATGAGTCTCCCGGTCGCGGCCGGCTGCGACAGAGCCTGGATTCGAACCAGGATCTCTAGTGGCACAGTTAGCACTGCGATGCAGTGCCTTAGACCACTGCGCCACTCAGCATAGAACTCAGGCCATTTTGAAAACGATAGTCCTTCAATCAATGACAGATATACAGTCAGGTCCAAAATTATTAACACCCTTGATAAAGATGAGCAAAAAAGACTGTATAAAATAAATAATACAAATACTGAGCTGTATTGTATGCTCATAAAAATGGGAATATTATATTATTTTATACTAATACAATTACTCAGAGAAATAGATTTTTTAAACAAGTAATACTCTCTAAAAGATAGGGGTCAACATTATCGCACCCCTGTTTTCAATACCTTTTATACCTCACCTTGTGAGGATAATGTTACTGAGCCTTTTGATAAAATGTTTCATGAGTTGGAGAACACATTGGGAGGGATCTTAGACCATTCCTCCACACAGAATGTTTCCAGATCCTTGATGACCTTCATCTGCGCTTATGGACTGTCCTCTTCAATTCACACCACATGTTTTCAATGGGGTTCAAGTCCGAAAATGTTGATTTTGTGGTTAATTAACCATTTCTTTGTGGATTTTTATGTGTGCTAGGGGTTAACTCCCTTCATATGTAACTTCATTAATTAAGTTAAGAATCATAAGTTACCAAACCCGTTCTCAGGAATGGATAACACTATAGATCCCTTCAGTCTCCACAGATTTGGGAAAAATCTTATTTTTTTTTTTGCCCCTAAGTTGTGGAACAATCTGCTGAGTTCACTGCAGTTAGATGTGCTGGTGCCACTCAGCCAGTTTAAATTATTGATTGAGGACCTCTATGTAGTTGAATGTGATTGCTTTTATTAAATATGTTTATTTTGTTATTGTGTGCTGAATGATATTGTTTTATACACATACATGTGTATGTTGTTTTATTATTCTGTTTTTATTGTAATGTATACAGGGCTGTCTTGTAAAATAAATGTTTAATCTCAATGTGACTCCCTGTTTAAATAAAGGTTAAATAAAAAGCATTGTCTTGCTGGAATATCCACCTGCAGCCAAGTGTCAGCCTCCTGGCAGAGGCAACCAGGTTTTGGACTAAAATGTCCTGGTACTGGGTAAAGTTAATGATACTGTTGATCTTAACAAGGGCCCCAGTGGACCAGTGGAAGCAAAATAGCCCAAAGTTCCACCACCATATTTTACAGTAGGTATGGTGCTCTTTTCTGCTTATACAGTGGATTCGGAAAGTATTCAGACCCATTCCCTTTTTCCACATTTTGTTATGTTACAGCCTTATTCTAAAATTGATTAAATTGTTTTTTTCCCCTCATCAATCTAGACACAATACCCCATAATGACAAAGCAAAAACAGGTTTTTAGAATTTGTTGCAAATGTTAAAAAAAATATTGAAATATCACATTTACATAAGTATTCAGACCCTTTACTCAGTACTTTGTTGAAGCACCTTTGGCAGCGATTACAGCCTCGACTCTTCTTGGGTATGACGTTACAAGCTTGGCACACCTGTATTTGGGGAGTTTCTCCCATTCTTCTCTGCAGATCCTCTCAAGCTCTGTTAGGTAGGATGGGGAGCGTCGCTGCACAGCTGTTTTCAGGTCTATCAAGAGATGTTCGATTGGGTTCAAGTCCGGGCTCTGGCTGGGCCACTCAAGGACATTCAGAGACTTGTCTCGAAGCCACTCCTTATACAATTGTATTAGTATAAAATAATATTATTTTTTATCATACAATACAGCTCAGTATTTGTATTATTTATTTTATACAGTCTTTTTTACTCATCTTTATCAATGGTGCCAATCATTCTGGACCTGACTGTATATGCTTGACCATGACTTGATTGATCATAATGATAGTCAATTTACTTTTATCTTTACTATTATCTGAACTACTATGTTTTTTTCGGAGTGATAAACATTTTGTGATGGTATCTTTATCTGCTTTTAGTGTAAGTTCCATTTTTCCCTTGATTTGATTTAGACGATAGCAACTTGCACACACGCAGACCTGATTGCTCAGGGACACCTACTACACACACACACACACACACACACGCACACGCACACACACACACAGACACACAGACACACACACACACACACACACACACACACACACACACACACACACACACACACACACACACACACACACACACACACACACACACACACACACACCACACACACACACACACACACACATACACACATACACACACACACACACACACACACACACACACACCACACACACACACACACACACACACACACACACACACACACACACACACACACACACACACACACACACACACACACACACACACACACACACCTTTCAGAAAGGGGAAGTCTTTACACTTAAATATCAATTATTCAGACTAGCAGTGGCTTATCTGAAAGCTGTTGTGATTGTTCTGCTTTTTATATGAGGAAGTAAAGTTAGCAGTGATCTTGTGACCGAAACCTACCAATACCACACCCACACAAGAACAAGCAAGTCTGCTCTAATCGTGGAAGTGAGGAACATCATATTCTTTCACTTTGTTCTCACAGCACCCACATCTGACACAGCTATGGCATCTGACACAGCTATGGGTCTGACAGCATTCACCTTGCTAGTGCTCTCTCTGCTCCACCAGTGTGTCCCTCACCCACTCAGCCCTCCGAATAATGGACTTCGTAAGTGCCGCACCAACTTGTCCATTCCAGCACTGGAGGTGCTCCCAGGCGGGGGATGGGACAACCTGAGGAACATGGACATGGGACGAGTCATGAACTTCAGCTTCTCCCAGTGCCAGACCACGGAGGACGGATTCTACCTCATCCCGGATGAGGTTTTTGTCATCCCACAGAAGCTCACTGGTGTGGAGACCAATTCTGAGCTCATCAACACTTGGCTGGAACAGCGCAGCTCCACGTCTTTCTCCATCAACTCGGACGTGTCCTTCCTCTCCGTGCTCAATGCTAAGTTCTCCACTGAGAACCAGCGGGTGAAGACTCACCAGGTCCAAGGGAGCTCTGTCACCGCTCGTGTTCAAGTGAGTTGCTCCATAAAGAAACAATCATTTTTGAACAGTTATTTATCTATTTAATGTCATGTACATTTATCTCGGCAATGATAAAATAATGTATGTTTTTACGTAGTTTGTAATAAGTAAACAAGAGAGAGAAGAATGACTGCAGAATATCCATGTCATGTTTATACAGTAATCCTGTTTCTTTAAGGCTTTCTGAACAGTCAATACTAGATAGTGTACCTTATCTCAGTGTAGTTTGCTCTCTAGATTAGCAACTAATGACGACACCAAGCCTCAAGGTTATTTCCTGGTTAAAGGTGAAATAAAAAAAATACTGATTCCTCCCTCCCAGGTACGGAACTTCCTGTACACTGTAAAGGCTCACCCTGACTTCACTCTGGATGGCCGCTTTGCCCACCAGGCTGAGGAGATCGCAGACGCAATCGAAAACAACCAGACTCGACAGGCAGCGTATTTATCTGAGAAGATGGTGTTTGACTACGGAACCCATGTGATAACCAGTGTTGATGCAGGAGCCGCCTTAGTGCAAGAGGACTATCTCCGTTCATCTTACGTGTCCGACAGTGAGACGGCAAAGTTCTCAGTTTCGGCATCGGCAGGTCTTAACTTCTTTGATAAAGTCAAATTTGACATTGGCAGCAAGGACACACAAGAGACCTCAGAGTCACATAGTTATCAGGGCAACATCACCTACTCCATAATACAGAGCCATGGTGGGGCTCCCTTCTACCCGGGCATCACTCTGCAGAAGTGGCAGGAGAGCACCAAGAACAACCTGGTGGGCATCGACCGGGCAGGACTGCCTCTACACTACTTCCTCAACCGGATGACCTTCCCCGATCTCCCTGAACCAACCATCGGCAAACTGGCACTGTCTGTTAGTCAGGCTATCCAGCGTTACTATACCATCAACACACACCCCGGCTGCGTCAATCCAGACTCCAAGAACTTCAACTTCCAAGCCAATATGGACGACAGCTCCTGCGAGGGTCCGGCCACCAACCTCAGCTTCGGTGGGGTGTTTCAGCAGTGCACCAAGCTCACCGAGGATGCAGACCCAATCTGCCAGGCCCTGGCTCAGAAGAACCCAGACACAGGCTCTTACTCATGTGGTCAGCCCTACAACGCCACCAAGTTACGCTCTGAGGTGAGAGATGAGAGCTACAGCACGTACGAGTGCCACAAGCATTGCCATGGCTGCTGGCTGTTTTTCACCTGCTGCGACAACATCTGTGGAGATGCCTACTATGTTCGCTCCGCTCGCATCGACACCTACTGGTGCTCCACCAATGAGGCAACCCCAGAGTACTCAGGATACCTCTTTGGGGGACTCTATGGCCCATCCCTGCTGAACCCTCTGACCAAAACTAAGAGCTGCCCTCCAAACTTCAACATTCAAATGAAGCTTCTGTCCAACGGCCTCATGATCTGCCTGAGCAATGACTATGAGACGTCCACCAGGTTTTCGGTCCCCTTTGGGGGCCTGTTCAGTTGCCAGTCTAACAACCCCCTTGCACAGGATCAACCCCGTTGCCCTCCCCAGTTCAGCCAGCACCTGGCTACTGTTAGTGATGGCTGCCAGGTCCTCTACTGTGTCCAGTCTGGCTTGTTCACAGGTGGCCAGCTGCTGCCTGTCCGCTTGCCACCTTTCACTCGTCCTCCACTGATCAGCATGACTGCCACTAACACGGTGGCCGTGATGACCGATGGGGATCGGGCATGGGTCAGGGTGGGACAGACCAAGATGTGGAAGCTGGCCAAGATGACAGAGATCCAGAGTATGGTGCAGATGTTCGATCCAACCTCGGGACAGATGACAGGGGGGCAGAAGTCTGGTGTGGCCTTTGGAGTAATTTGCCTGGTTGCCTTGGTGGTGCTTGGGGCTGTGCTGCTGGTGAGAAGAAGGAGGGTCTCAAGGTTTGGTGGGGCGGGGGGGTATGAGGAGATCCACAGCGAGGGGCAGAGTGAGGGAGGTGTGGAGAGTCAAGAAGAGCAAGGCTCCGAGACAATGACCCAGGCCCTGTTGCCATGAGACCACATTCCACACAGCTGACATATTAACAAGAAAACAGCTTTGAGATAACTGTACTTTTTAATCAACCTCTCATGCTTGCTTTACACTTTCCCTTTACGATCAATAATCTCAAATACTGGCTAGGTATAGGGTGAAGGTGTGATTAAAAGAAACCAACTAAATAATCAACTATTATTAATAAGGGGAAAATGCACACATTTACACCAACGTGTTGGCAGCTTCCTGCCTTCACCAGGGTTTACAATACAATACAATACAATAATGTTAATGAATGTATGGCGAAAAGGGTGACAAAAATCTATTGACCTATTACTTATGTTTTTAGTTGAATTTGTTAGTCTTTTTATACTGTGGTTATGCTTTCCGTTGACAATGTTTTATAGAAATCTACTATGATTCAATAGCATTATTGTTTTCTGTTATAACATTTTAATTAGCTTTTGTATGTTTTGGACATGAAAATAAAACAACTAACACAATATGAATTGAAGTTACTCATCTTGTCAAATGTAACAGCTGTACTTTTAAAGACCCCAACAAGGGTTCACTACAGGACATTATGGTCTGGTGACATCTAGCCTGTTTTGACAGATATCACAGTCCCCTCAGAATATTTCTGCTCCTTCAAAAGTATTATGGTGGGGAAGTGGAATACATGAATGTACAGTGGGGAAAAAAAGTATTTAGAGAGCCACCAATTGTGCAAGTTCTCCCACTTAAAAAGATGAGAGAGGCCTGTAATTTTCATCATAGGTACACGTACACTATGACAGACAAAATGAGGGAAAAATAATCCAGAAAATCACATTGTAGGATTTTTTATGAATTTATTTGCAAATTATGGTGGAAAATAAGTATTTGGTCAATAACAAAAGTTTCTCAATACTTTGTTATATACCCTTTGTTGGCAATGACACAGGTCAAACGTTTTCTGTAAGTCTTCACAAGGTTTTCACACACTGTTGTTGGTATTTTGGCCCATTCCTCCATGCAGATCTCCTCTAGAGCAGTGATGTTTTGGGGCTGTCACTGGGCAACACGGACTTTCAACTCCCTCCAAAGATTTTCTATGGGGTTGAGATCTGGAGACTGGCTAGGCCACTCCAGGACCTTGAAATGCTTCTTACGAAGCCACTCCTTCGTTGCCTGGGCGGTGTGTTTGGGATCATTGTCATGCTGAAAGACCCAGCCACGTTTCATCTTCAATGCCCTTGCTGATGGAAGGAGGTTTTCACTCAAAATCTCACGATACATGGCCCCATTCATTCTTTCCTTTACACGGATCAGTCGTCCTGGTCCCTTTGCAGAAAAACAGCCCCAAAGCATGATGTTTCCACCCCCATGCTTCACAGTAGGTATGGTGTTCTTTGGATGCAACTCAGCATCCTTTGTCCTCCAAACACGACGAGTTGAGTTTTTACCAAAAAGTTATATTTTGGTTTCATCTGACCATATGACATTCTCCCAGTCCTCTTCTGGATCATCCACATGCACTCTAGCAAACTTCAGACGGGCCTGGACATGTACTGGCTTAAGCAGGGTGACACGTCTGGCACTGCAGGATTTGAGTCCCTGGCGGCGTAGTGTGTTACTGATGGTAGGCTTTGTTACTTTGGTCCCAGCTCTCTGCAGGTCATTCACTAGGTCCCCCCGTGTGGTTCTGGGATTTTTGCTCACCGTTTTGTGATCATTTTGACCCCACGGGGTGAATCTTGCGTGGAGCCCCAGGCCGAGGGAGATTATCAGTGGTCTTGTATGTCTTCCATTTCCTAATAATTGCTCCCACAGTTGATTTCTTCAAACCAAGCTGCTTACCTATTGCAGATTCAGTCTTCCCAGCCTGGTGCAGGTCTACAATTTTGTTTCTGGTGTCCTTTGACAGCTCTTTGGTCTTGGCCATAGTGGAGTTTGGAGTGTGACTGTTTGAGGTTGTGGACAGGTGTCTTTTATACTGATAACAAGTTCAAACAGGTGCCATTAATACAGGTAACGAGTGGAGGACAGAGGAGCCTCTTAAAGAAGAAGTTACAGGTCTGTGAGAGCCAGAAATCTTGCGTGTTTGTAGGTGACCAAATACTTATTTTTCCACCATAATTTGCAAATAAATTCATAAAAAATCCTACAATGTGATTTTCTGGATTTTTTTTCCTCAATTTGTCTGTCATAGTTGACGTGTACCTATGATGAAAATTACAGGCCTCTCTCATCTTTTTAAGTGGGAGAACTTGCACAATTGGTGGCTGACTAAATACTTTTCTTCCCCACTGTACATGTAACCAAAGCAGGTCACATTTATCTTGAGAAACTGTATAATCTCACAAGACTCAAAGTGAGACTCATCATTGTAAATTTTATTTTATTTTAGAAAATACTATTGCCTCATTTGCTAGAGCAATGCATATCATCTTAAATCTTGCTCAATAAACCCTTCCTAATTTCCCCCTGAATATAAAGATACTCCTAAATGTCCCCCTGAACATGAAGATACTCCTAAATGTCCCCCTGAACATAAAGATACTCCTAAATGTCCCCCTGAACATAAAGATACTCCTAAATGTCCCCCTGAACATAAAGATACTCCTAAATGTCCCCCTGAACATAAAGATACTCCTAAATGTCCCCCTGAACATAAAAATACAATGAAGAAGCTGAGGACAAGGAGTTGATTTTGTTATTAGTACATAGACAGACATAAATACACAGTTGCACACACACACACACACACACACACACACACGCACACACACACGCATGCACGCACGCATGCACACGCACGCACGCCCGCGCACACGCGCACGCACGCACGCATGCACACGCACGCACACGCGCACATAAAGCTTCCTGTAAAGAGGCTGAATGCCATGTCACTCTGAGTCTTGTGAAAACCCTCCCCCACACTCAGCTGGGATTCATACTGTCGGCTTGTGCACATCAAAACAAAACCACTCAGCCGTGGAAATCTGTCTAACCCCAGGAAGAGACGCTTGGAGGAGGGGGAAGTTCCTTAGCCACACAATGACCTTGACATTCAGCACAGCGAATAAGTATTCCCCACAGCACCAGATACACCAAGTGTTATTCGGTTCATAGTTTCTTATTGACGTCAAGAGGAAGCAGCAAACCAACATTTTGTTTTTACACCACTGACTAAGAAGAGAAGGGGAGGACGAAGACTAACCCAGTTGGATGATTTAAAGGTAGGCGTGCATGTCGGCCAGTGTGAACGGTTCTGATTCCACTACAGCTGCAGGACTAACCCAGTTGGATGATTTAAAGGTAGGCGTGCATGTCGGCCAGTGTGAACGGTTCTGTTTCCACTACAGCTGCAGGCAGAGCTGTGGGGAGATTTGGTGCTCTACTTAGCCTTTCAGTGTGGAGGGGGTTATTGGTGTGCCCTCATTTAGACACAAAACAAGAGTTGAAAAATATACAACAACACTGTATATTATCTTTGATCTGTGGCCCATTTGTGAATCCATATTAAATGTATTCTATTTGTAAGACTTTTCTAGAAGGAGCGGATGGGCTATGGGAATATTAAAATAGTTATGTTTTGATTAAGAGGATGTCTTGAAACATCACTCAACATCCCTTTGCATTGTGGAGGCATCTTTTTTTACAGAATGTAGACACTGTTTGCAGTACAAGAAAGCTTTCCATTCTTGATAATAACCTCTGTAAATTCCAGGAGCCATGGCATTCCGAAGTCTCTTCCTTTATACCTTGAGTCTGCCCGTCCTGGTGCAGATGCCCAGCAGCAGAGCCTGCAGGACTGGATTGAGGTCAGAGTGTGAGAAAGCCCCCTTTGTGCCCGGCTACAACCTGGCAGGGGAGGGCTTCGACGTGGTCAGGATGCGTCGTAAAGGGGCTTACGTCATCAACGTCAAAGCCCACCTGTCTGACAACCACACATGTATTCTCTGTGAGAACCGCTTCCAGAAGGGACAGGTCCAGAGGTTGCCTTCTGCCGTGCTGGACTGGCGTCCATTGAGCCGCTGCAGCAAGCAGCTGTCCAGTGCCCTGCACCACTCGGTGGACTCCTTGCTACGTAGCTCCAGCTCCCTCATCAACAACAACTGGGGCATGGACCTGAGGCTAGAGACTTATGGCAAGGCAGTGCTGGGGGGCAGCCGCTCCGAAATGGCCAAGTTTGCCAGATCCCAGCACAGTGTGGACAAGGCCACCTTTGCCACCCATGAGATCAGCTGTACATACTACAGGTAGGGAATGGCTTTATCGTTGACAGCTGTTTTCTATGGACTAATCTACCTCACTGTCACTAAATAGATTAAATATCTATGCTAAGGTTAATCTGTGTCGTTCTATTTGCATGACTTATTACAACGCATATGATAACATTATGACAACTTACCGAATCACTAATCATTGCGGTATACAGTATCCACTATCCTGTTCCTAGATCTGTTAGTGTTGAATAGCAAACACCTACGGTGGGTGTCATGCCAAACATGACAATGACCACTGGAGTTGGCATGAGACAGCACAAGCTGATCTGGGACCAGGCTGAGTGTTCTCGATGAAAAGGGGTTGATGTAGATCCACATGTCCTGTTCTTGATTTTCCAGTTACAGGCTGGCAGACCATCCGGACCTCAGCGTTGAATTTGCTAAACATCTCAAGAGACTGCCACAAGAGCTTGACAACAAGAGCAAATTGCTGTACCGGAGGATGATCGACACGTACGGCACTCACTACATACGTCAGGTGCAGCTGGGTGGTAGGGTGAGGCGCGTCACCGCCTTTCGCACCTGCCTGGCCACCCTGAAGGGCTTCTCAGAGTCCGAGATAAAGACCTGCTTAAATGTTGAGCTGAAAATGGCCTTAGGCTTCCTCCCAGCAAACGCGTCCTTCTCCAACAAATGTGACAACCTCATAAAGGGGAACATGAGCATGGGTTTCTATCAGGGCTTTATGACCCACAAGATTGAGGTTCTAGGAGGGGAAAAGTATTTCCCCGATATCTTGTACAATCAGGAACCGTCCGAAGCATACCATAGCTGGATGAACAGCTTGCATGATAATCCAGACGTGGTCTCCTATGCTATCTTCCCCCTGCACAACCTGGTTGATGATCCAGAGGTTAGTGCCAACCTGAGGAGAACGGTGACAGAGTACATTGAGGAGAACAAGCTTCCTGTAGACCAGGGGGAATTCAAAACCTGCTCCCCGACCCCTAACCTGGATCACAACTGTTGTCCTCTACGGGCAGGCCGCGGGAATCTCAGGGTAATGGTCCACAGAGCCGCAGGTTTGAGAGCAGATACCTTCACAAAGACTGATGGCTATGTTAAAATATGGTACAATGGCATGTATGAGGAGACAGATACTGTCATGGATGATAATGATCCGGTATGGAATGTCACGTACAACTTTGGCTCAGTGGAGTTTGGTCATCAGCTGCTGTTTGAGGTTTGGGACAGAGACGTGCTTTACAATGACATGGCAGGAAGATGTTTGGTCTTCCCTGAACGAGGAACTCATTCACACAGCTGTCAGCTAAAGAAAGGGGTTCTGCACTTCACTTACAGCTCTGAATGTGACGCCCACTTAACAGGCTACAGGTGTGGACGGTACTCTCCTAGTACATAAGGTTTTGGATCGAAAATACACCTGGGTCTTATTCATTAGTGCACACCGTATCAAATTATTTTGCAACGGGGGGAAAAAACAAGCATTTCTTATTTGACATTAATAATGTTGACGTGTTCCAAACATGGCCTGTATCAATAATTGGTGTTTATTTTAGAATGAGGCAGGGATTCAATGCAAAGCGCATTTTGGAGTGTTGCCATTAAAGTAAACGATCCCGTTTCCGTTCACAGAGATCACAGTATCAGTAACAGATGCAAACGTCGGCTAATTCGGAAATGATCTTTATAATGTCAAGCATGCTACAATGTGCCTCGGGGTTGAATCCTTAGTCAGTCTTTGTTTATTCCTGTATCTGTTGTTTACTTAGAAATACATGGCAATAAAGTAGATTAACCAAAGTATTCACGTCTCAGGTTTTTGTTCAGTAATGAACACAACAATTATTTCTTTTTTGGCCATCTCCAGGTGAATCTATCATTGTAAAATCAGTTACAACAAATTCTGCCGTAAATATTTTGTTCATGCTCAAAATTCACATGAAGTACCATCAGGATAAATCCATTTGATTTCAATCACTTTTTGACAGTACCCCTTTTGATTTGAACGAAACCTTCCATACATATTTGCCCCATTGTGGAAGTGCTCAGCAAGTGACTCTTTGGACCTGAAAGACAAAACATTGAAGACATAAAGGAAAATATTGATATAATTTAAAAGCTTCAAAACAGGGTTGTTAAACTGTTGTATAATTAGTTGAAAAAAACGTTATGAAAAAAATCTACGTTTACGAGTTTTGAGATAATTGACATTAAAAGGTTTAAAAAAATGGTATTCATTAGAAAAATTTAATTTATATACACTACCGGTCAAAAGTTTTAGAACACCTGCTCATTCAAGGGTTTTTCTTTATTTGTACTATTTTCTACATTGTAGAATAATAGTGAAGACATAAAAACTATGAAATAACACATATGGAATCATGTAGTAACCAAAAAAAGTGTTAAACAAATCAAAATATGTGTTATATTTGAGATTCTTCAAATAGCCACCCTTTGCCTTGATGACAGCTTTGCACACTCTTGGCATTCTCTCAACCAGCTTCACCAGGAATGCTTTTCCAACAGTCTTGAAGGAGTTCCGACATATGCTGAGCACTTGTTGGCTGCTTTTCCTTCACTCTGCCGTCCGACTCATCCCAAACCATCTCAATTGGGTTGAGGTCAGGGGATTGTGAAGGCCAGGTCATCTGATGCAGCACTCCATCATTCTCCTTCTTGGTAAAATAGCCCTTACCAGCCTGGAGGTGTGTTGGGTCATTGTCCTGTTGAGAAACAAATTATAGTCCCACAAAGCCCAAACCAGATGGATGGCGTATCGCTGCAGAATGCTGTGGTAGCCATGCTGGTTAAGTGTGCCTTGAATTCTAAATAAATCACAGACAGTGTCACCAGCAAAGCACCCCCACACCATAACACCTCCTCCTCCATGCTTTATGGTGGGAAATACACATGCGGAGATCATCTGTTCACCCACACCGCGTCTCACAAAGACACGGTGGGGTTGGAACCAAGAATCTCCAATTTGGACTCCAGACCAAAGGACAATTTTCCACCGGTCTAATGTCCATTGCTCGGCTTTCTTGGCCCAAGCAAGTCTCTTCTTCTTATTGGTGTCCTTTAGTAGTGGGTTTCTTTGCAGCAATTCGACCATGAAGGCCTGATTCACACAGTCTCCTCTGAACAGGTGATGTTGAGATGTGTCTGTTACTTGAACTCTGTGAAGCATTTATTTGGGCTGCAATGTCTGAGGCTGGTAACTCTAATGAACTTATCCTCTGCAGCAGAGGTAACTCTGGGTGTTCCTTTCCTGTGGCGGTCCTCATGAGAGCCAGTTTCATCATAGCGCTTGATGATTTTTGTGACTGCACTTGAAGAAATGTTTAAAGGTCTTGACATTTTCCGTGTTGACCTTCATGTCTTAAAGTAATGATGGACTGTCGTTTCTCTTTGCTTATTTGAGCTGTTCTTGCCATAATATGGACTTGGTCTTTTACCAAATAGGGCTATCTTCTGTATACCCCCCCTACCTTGTCACAGCACAACTGATTGGCTCAAACGCATTAAGAAGGAAAGGAATTCGACAAATTAACTTTTAAGAAGGCACACCTGTTAATTGAAATGCATTCCAGGTGACTACCTCATGAAGCTGGTTGAGAGAATGCCAAGAGTGTGCAAAGCTGTCATCAAGGCAAAGGGTGGCTATTTGAAGAATCTCAAAATATAACACTTTTTTGGTTACTACATGATTCCGTATGTGTTATATCAAAAGTGTTTTGATGTCTTCCTATTATTCTACAATGTAGAAAATAGTAAAAATAAAGAAAAACCCATTGAATGAGTTGGTGTTCTAAAAACTTTTGACCGGTAGATAGTTTGACAACCCTGTTTGTAAGCTTTTAAATTATATCAAACTCAACCGTTTTTGCTTTCCAGTGTTGAAGACATGGATGTCTCATGGTATGGTGGGGTTTGCAAAATGGGTCAACTTTGAGCACCTCTATCTCCTAAATGTTTTGGCATTCAGATCCCAAAAGACAGTTTCTGACCACTTCTTCCATGGGCAAACATGTATGCAAAGTTTTGTTTAAATCAATATGGATTATGTCAAAAAGTGATTGAATTCACATGCATTTACCCATTAATCATATCCACAGATCTCTATAGGTGTACTTTGAATGGTCACAATGGGCCTACTAGCAAAGATCTTTATGACTAACCCAAGATAGACCACAGCCTGTCGTTTTCAATGGGTGCAAATTAATCATAGTGGGCAGAACAAGCAAGGAGGTGGGCAGAGCCAAGCATGAGCTAGTGAGATCCTATTGACACATTCTAGCATGTATTTGCATATTTCCGTTAGGGAACGCCTACTCTGTAAAGTGTGTGTTTGCAATAGCTACATTCACCCTTGCACTCCTTCTAAACAATGCAATTCTTTGAAACTTTGGCAAAAGGTAAAGTCTACTAAACTTAGTCCACTTTGTTCGTAACATATTTTTGTTTCGGGAACAGAAAACTGTATTGAGATCTAACGTTTCATCGATGACAAAATGTGCAGAATGTCGGCCAAAATCCATCTCGCTTCATCTTCTCCTATTGCCGGCCACTGGGCCGGTGGTGGGTGGAAACACCAAGCAGATGCTTCAGATTTATATATCCGGTGAAACATCTGGCTCATTGTTCTATCTGTGCTACTAGTCCATTTAACCATCTCAAGTTCAATGGTATCATTTTAGCTCTCTCATTTCAGCTCTCTCATTTGTTGGCAAAGTAAAACATTTACAATGCAATATATTAGTCTTTCACAAGATCACAATCTTTCACAATAAACAAGTCAATTACAATAATACTCAAAGTAGGCATAGCAATCGAGACATTAGTCTTTCACAGTGTCAAATATTTAAGTAGGCATAGCAATAAACTCAACGTTTATTTGTTCTGTAGATACAGGATAGTTTACATGGCACAATTAAATAGTAGCCAAACATACAGTAATGACAGTGTAGTACAATACAAGGAATACTTGTGCAGTGGGGCAGTAGAGGCAGCAGTGGTGTGGGTGTAGAGCTGTGCAAAGATCTTGTGACAACAACATAGAGAGAATAGATACTTTATTGTCCATTGATTAGAATGGAAATGTGAATTCTGCTTTTCCCAACACCCCTGCAGTGCAGCACCCCTTGGTGGAGAACAATTGTGTGTGTGTGTGTGCGTGTGGGGGGGGGGTTAAGTGCCTTGCTCAAGGGCACAATGGCAGAAGATGGTACATGGGAGCTTTCCAGCTGCCAGTTCAGTTCGACGCCCATTTTTGTGTCGTCCTGGGCTTGAACAATTGTAGTCATGGCAGCACACCCATTCATTGCTCCTGTAATAGCCAAAGAGCAGTGTTTCCTGATCCTGGTCCCAGGGACCCAAAGGGGTGCACATTTTTGTCTGCCTCTCCAACCTCTGTTTCTCAATCCTGGTCCTCCTGGGGACCCAAAGGGAGCAGCTAGTCTGCCTCTCCAACCTCTGTTTCCTGATCCTGGTCCTGGGGACCCAAAGGGAGCAGCTAGTCTGCCTCTCCAACCCTGTTTCCTGATCCTGGTCCCAGGGACCCAAAGGGAGCAGCTAGTCTGCCTCTCCAACCCTGTTTCCTGATCCTGGTCCCAGGGACCCAAAGGGAGCTGCTGGTCTGCCTCTCCAACCCTGTTTCCTGATCCTGGTCCTCCTGGGGACCCAAAGGGAGCTGCTGGTCTGCCTCTCCAACCCTGTTTCCTGATCCTGGTCCCAGGGACCCAAAGGGGTGCACATTTTTGTTTTGCCTTAGCACTACACATCTGATTCAAATCATCAAAGCTTGATACATTGATAATTTGAAACAGCTGTGTAGTGTTAGGACAAAAATAAGAATGTGCACCCCTTTGGGTCCCTGGGACCAGGATCAGGAAACAGAGGTTGGAGAGGCAGACTAGCTGCTCCCTTTGGGTCCCCAGGACCAGGATCAGGAAACAGAGGTTGGAGAGGCAGACTAGCTGCTCCCTTTGGGTCCCCAGGAGGACCAGGATCAGGAAACAGAGGTTGGAGAGGCAGACTAGCTGCTCCCTTTGGGTCCCCAGGAGGACCAGGATCAGGAAACAGAGGTTGGAGAGGCAGACTAGCTGCTCCCTTTGGGTCCCCAGGACCAGGATCAGGAAACAGAGGTTGGAGAGGCAGACTAGCAGCTCCCTTTGGGTCCCCAGGAGGACCAGGATCAGGAAACCAGGATCAGGTCATTGATCCCATGTACCATCTCCTGCCATTGTGCCCTTGAGCAAGGCACCTAACCCCCCACAATTGCTCTCCATCCAGGGGATCTGCACAGCTGCTGACCCTGTGTCAACTTGTGTGTATTTCTTGGTGTTGGGAAAGGGGGAGGACACTTTTTCCTTCCAACTAATGGATTGTAAAGTTGTATTAAATTCCTCTTTGGAGTCATTTATGTCTCTATCCAGCATATTGTCCATCTAGAGAGGGATAGACTGCCCCTGACAACACAAGCTGGCTCCCCATGTAGTCCACTCCAGGAAAAATTATGTCTACCATTGAGCATTATTGTCTGAATAAAGGAGAACAAATTAGATTCCCCTGCACAGGCATTTGTTGAAATACACTACCAGTCAAAACTTTGGACACACCTACTCATTCAAGGGATTTTCTTTATTTTGCACTATTTTCTACATTGTAGAATAATAGTGAAGACATCAAAACTATGAAATAACACATATGGAATCATGTAGTAACCAAAAAGGTGTTAAACAAATCAAAAATTATTCAAATAGCCACCCTTTGCCTTGATGACAGCTTTGCACACTCTT